TGGGCGTGGCGAAATCTAGCCAACCGAGTCAGAACCTACTGAGCGTAACAGTTAGATTTCCGCCACTAGAGTAGTAGGAACAAAGAACTTGAAGGAATTGGACCGTTGTCTCTGTTCATACTATCTTTACATTTATTAATTCTGAGGCTTTCATATGCATCTAATAATATATTCATATGAAATGTTTTTCTTAAATGTTAAGATGTTTAGGACATATTATGTCCTAAACATCTTAACTTTTTAGATACAGAGTGGTAAAATTTTTCTATTTTTTTTTTTTTCAAAATATCTCTGATGGTATATTTGATACACGTCCAGCTTGCATCAAAATGCTTATTTTGTTATACAAAAAAAATGTTTCATTTCTTAATTTCCTTCCAGCCGATGCAGAAATGATTTCCACAACAATCAGCTCATATTTTCAGCGAGTTGACCCTGAAATAAACTGACTTTAATTTTTTAAGCAAAAACTATGCGTCGGACGAAAAAATTCAAGAGATAAAAAAATGTTTAGAAATGAATGGAGATTTTGAAATTAATTTTTATTTTATGAGATGTCAGTGGTGTACCACTTTTTTCTCCAAAAATATTCAGTGTAAAACCTGTATGGACGGCACTGGTTGAAATAAATAAAAAAAAATTTACACCAATAAAGGTATTTTGATGCATAGAAGATGTGTATCAAGTTTCATAAAAATATCTGTAATAAAATCAGAGTTATTATGATTTTTTTTTAATTTACCACCCTGTATCTCTGATATTAAGATGTTTAGGACATACAAGTTTCTCTTAGAATAGGTCCAAGAATCGCGCCTTTAGATATTAGCAAGTCGTTAAGAAACACCTTGTATACATATATGAAAATTTGTTACTTCAACAAACAACAACAATTAATTTCTATTATATTAAGTACTTTGGGAACTTTTATTAAGTAATTTGGGAAGTTTTCTGCGGACGAAGTCGGCTGCAAATCTACGTAGTTTATATAAGTGTATACCGGGTGCATCTCAAAAGTGGCTCACCCCTATAATTTTTTATTTTTTCAGATAAAACAACGATATTTGGTACGTTAGGATATGACATAAATTTGGATTGATTGACGTATTCAATTGTTTTCGGTCACTTCCGGTTTCACCGGAAATGACTACAACTTTTGATTTTTAAATGGCACCTTCGGTATTTTTTTTTACTTTATTCGATAGAAAATGACAATCTGAATCGAATGACATATCATATGTCAACTCTTGACATCTTGGCATATGGTTTATTTGAAATTATGGCATGCGGTTCATAACGACAATTTGACTCAAAATACCAAATGTGTCGTATCAAATTATTCGTAAAAAAATGCTTTTTCCAAATATGCTAATGACCCACCCTTGTTCCATTTCAAAAATTGAGATATGATTAAAAATACGATTTGGGCATCTTTTAATCGGCCAGGACAAGACACTAAACACATTAGACAATCAAATCTATTTTTCCAAGGCCCCTTGATTAAAAATTAGTGTTTTTAACACAGCCATGGCACTCTAGATTGAAATTTAAAATCGAATTTGTTTTTGAGTGACTATGTCAAATATTGACATATGATATGTCATTCGATTCAGAGGGTCATTTTCTATCGAATAAGGTAAAAAAATACCGAGGGTGCCATTTAAAAATCAAAAGTTGTAGTCATTTCCGGTGAAACTGGAAGTGACCGAAAACAATTGAATACGTCAATCAATCCCAATTTATGTAATATACTAACATACCAAATCTCGAAATCTCGTTGTTTTATCTGAAAAAATAAAAAAGTTATAGGGGGTGAGGCACTTTTGAGACGCACCCGGTATAAGATCAAAGTTTTTAATGTTATTAGGATTAGGGCAAGATACCATCTTACCTTAAACGTATACCTACTATATATGAAGGGTAAGAGAAAAAACAACAATGTATATTTTATAGGAATTATTAAGTGTCAACTTAATCTGTTGATAATACCAAGTTCCAAACCATTTCCAAAAACATGTTCAATATTAAATGAAAATAATAAACGATGTTCAAATAATAACGCATACATATAGTAATATTTTTTTGTATCTTTAACATGATATTTGGCAACATTAAATCAGTTTTCTCCGTAAAAGTGAGTTTTGTGACATCGTCTGTTTCCCCTTACCCTTTATAATATGTTCTTGAATTAATCAAAGATGATTCTTTTTTTCACGATACCGTCATCTATTCATAATTCTTTGGGTTGGGTACAAAATATCATCACCAGCATCCTTTTTCGAATGTCATGACATTGAACTGTTTTATGATTGCGCATTTCTTGAAACTTGAACCTCGCCACAAACAAAAAATCAGATGTCAAGGAAATAAGCAGGAGTTTTCTATTATCTATTGACTGAATATAATCAATATAAAATATAAATACATATATCTATATAGGGTGAATCACGGCGATGGTACGTTAGTCGTTTATGGAGAACCGGAGATTTTTTTGAAAATTTGGATTTTTACGTAAAGGCACTATCTATCTAAAATGTGTTGCCGGATCTTTTGAAAAGCGGTAGCACCTTTGATATTTTAAATAGAACACCCAGCATACTATTACATTTTTAGAAACTACTTTCATATCTCATAATTTTTCTATAATACTAACATATACCTATTTCTTATAGTTTTCCAAATAGAATATGTGTAAAATTGACAAAAGCATGATTTTGAACAAGCATTGGAAAATCATTAATTATTGAACAATTTTAAAGTTGAAATTTGGGTTATAAGTTTGGATATATTAGATTTGTCTAATTTAACAGATTGAATATTACACAGGAAGGGCAAAAAAATATTTATTTCCGCTTGTTATAAAATTGACCAATCTGTGTTATTTTAAATTCAACCCTATGTAATTTTTTTTTAAATCAAAAGATTAATAAAATTGCTTCTCAACTATACATATATCATGTTCCTATACCTAAATCATTTGTTTTTTTTAAGTAGAGCTATTTAAAAATTATGATTCTATTATTAAAGTTTCATTTCAAGAATTTTGTTTCCATAATAATTTTAAAAATTTGGCAAGTAAAGTCTAATTGATACATATACATTTAAAATTATTTATTATTTGTTATGGTAACGATTTTCTTTGGGTTCGTTCCAATCATGAATCATAAACAAATTTGCAACAATTCGCAAATCTTGTCCCATGCGCATGTCTGTAAAATGAATTGGTTTCTGACCAATTTGAAACTACGGTTGGAACACCTACTTAACATTTTGTCAGTTTTAAATAGAATAACACAACCTAAAATTCTTTTAACCTAAAAAGGTTGTTGTCTCTGAAAGAACTAAGAAAATGGCTCAACAAGGTAATTATCTTTAAAGAAAATAACAATTTCAGCAAATGATTATTTTATATTTTACTTCATGCAAAGCAGGAATATTGCCATATTGGCAAACTTGGCTATTAAAATGCTGGCTTATTTCAAACCTTTCAGCTACGTGATTAGCACTTTGTTTTGTAAGCTTAAAATGTTCAAAGAAACATTGGAATATTGAGGCACGGTTTCCTCTGAAAATATTAACACAATAAAATATTAGATAAATTTTTGTGCAAAAATGTCGATTTTCCCTAAATAATTTTCATTATTAATTCTGTGCTCATCTAGTAGCAATTCTAAATTCTCCTCGTCACTACTTTCCATGGACGACACGTCACTAATCTCACTACTATACTCTTCGGCACTCATTGCGATTTAATTATGATATCTATTCACAAGTCTTTAATTAGTTGAACAGCCCGTTTAAATTATTCAAACAGATACGAGTATAATCAAATTTGCTATTATTTTATTAGTTATGGCGTGGTTATAACGGTAATACGCATGGGTCGGATAAATGATAGGAGAAAATTTTGCAAACCGTTCTGACAGTTTTCAAACAGTTTTCAATTTAAGATGGAATAGAAAACAAATTATTTACTAACCGACAGTAAATCCGGTTGGAACGCTTTTCAACTTCTGCGCAAACTCCTTACTGTAAGAAACAGTTTCTTAGGCGGGTTGGAACGAACCTTTTAAAGGAAACAATTATAGATTATCTTATGGCTTTACCATAGATAAAAGACTTATAATATTGACTTTACTGAACAAACCAGGTGGTTTTGGTATAGTAACATGATCGTTGAAAAGCAATTTCATTTATGTTTCGAATAAATATAAATAAAATTTTTAAATAATATACATATTATGTTTGAATCTTAAACGAAATGATTTGAAAAAAAATTGATGTAATTTTAAAAACAATGATTTGAGCGTAAAAGAGAGCGTTGAGAACCAAAATTCAGCTTTCGATATACCGTGTTTATGATTTTTTAAGATCATGTTTTTCTCAATTTTAGGCAAGTTTTATTTTTTATCTGGAAAACTGTTAGTGATAGGTATAGGTTAGTATAATAGAGAAATTATGATATATGATGTGGACGACAAAAATGTAATAACATACCAGATGTTCCGTTTAAAATAACAAAGATGCTACCATTTTTAGTATGCAACGCTGTAGAGCTGAAAATAATTTAAACAGATGGAGCAGGTGCATGCCTTTATGCAAAAATCCAAAATCTCAAAAAAACGGTTCTCCATAAACGTCTAACGTACTATGGCCGTGAATCACCCTGTATTAAAGCCTGTTAAAATTAATTCATATACATTTTTTATCAAAATAATTGATAGATTGAATAAAATAATTTTTTGTTACTAACAAAAAATTACTAGTCTCTAAAATTTTCAAAATAATTTTATTTTAGAAAGTTATACAAAAAATATTAAAATCAAAAGATTGCAATGATATAATTGCTAATTATTTATTATAATTTTCTTACTAATATGTTTTGTATATTTTTTTCGAAAAGTACCTAACACACGATTCTTTTCAAATATTCTAAGATCACATTTAATTTTTTTATTGATATGTCGTTATTTTTGAAGCACCTTTATTTCTATTTGACTTACCTGGTGATTTCTTTGCTGCACAGAATTTATTCAAATCACTGATGAAGACTGAAAATCGAAAATCTGCTCCTGCTGCTAAACGTATTCGATGTGAAAGTATATCTTTTGGGGGGAGCAATATACTTTCGCACAGGGGTACCATAGCCGAGGTTCGAACTGGTACTTTTTTCGTTTTTCTCCTGTTGCATTATTCAGAACTTGTTATTTTGCGTTTGTTTTTCGAATTTCGTAAGATTTAGGGAGTTTTTGCCGGTTTTGGCAAATTTTTGCGGGACCTCAACATAATTTTAGTATTTTAGTCATTTTTGTGAAGACTTACATCAATATAACGTTATTTAAGTCGATTTTATGACTTACGTCTATATTTTTGACTTAAATCATGATAATCTGCAAGTTAAGTCAGTAAAATGGCTTAAATCAATACAGGGTGGCGCACCTCATTCGCCTTGGTTGATTATACGAAAACGGAAAGATGTAGAAACAAAATATTTTATGGGTAGATGTGGAAAGGTAATGTGCATAATTTAAAATTATTTTGAAATGTACAGGGTGTATCAAAACTATGATCCACACCAAAGGTATATTTTTTTTATGGAACACCCGGTACTTTATTTCATATTTGGATCCTTGGACACAAAATAAGGCATTTATTATAACGATTAAATATGTTTACAAGCTCTGGTTTTTGAGATATCTAAAAATATTTAAATATGCATGCTATAATAAAAAAGATTGTCAACACTCTGTTCATTACTTTTCAAAATTAATTCTTGTGCTGACTTTTAAGCCAAAGATATAAACTTCACTGAAAAATTTGATTGCTTTGTTTAATGTATAGAGGGGTATCAAAAATTGCTGGTCTATTTTAAATACTTATTTTACATAAAAACTTCGGTATTTCAAATGTAACACCCTGTATTTTTTAAATAAATCGAAGCAAATTCAAATGCTCTTTCAAACTATATTAGGGTTTCCTATACCTATCAAGCTCAGATTTTGAATAAAGGCCAATTTTTCAATAAAATGGCAACCACGAGGGCTAGTGTCGTCATGGCCAGTTTCTAGTGACAGTTAGCATACAGTTAGTAGCCATGGTACAAAGAAAACATGGTATGATCGATAGCGGCTCCAATTTCGTTAAGTTTGCGCATACCACCTGTGACGTCATACACCATACAAAAAAATATCCATATTGTTCAATTGCCACTAATAAAAAAAGACCTAAAATATGGAAGAATTAGGACATAACCCCAAAAGTTATGTCAATCATCGAGCTTCACATTTGAAAAATTATTTTCACATTTATTGTGTCATCTGTTTGACAATTTTTTTACAATTTGAAATTGGCGCGCGGAACTTGCTGACCAATGGTGCCGTTTATCACCTGTGACGTAGTGACCAAACTGCGCAATATCATACCTTGTATTCTTTGTATCATGGTTAGTAGCCAAACCAAACCATTGGTCGGCAAGCTCCGCACGCCAATTTCAAATTGTCAAACAGATGACACAATAAACGCGAAAATAATTTTTCAAATGACAAGCTCGATAATTTGACATAACTTTTGGGGTTATGTCCTAATTCTTCCCTATTTTAGGTCTTTTTTATTAGTGGCAATTGAACAATATGGATATTTTTTTGTATGGCGTATGACGTCACAGGTGGTATGCGCAAACCTAACGAAATTGGAGCCGCTATCGATCATACCTTGTTTTCTTTGTACCATGGTTAGTAGCTATTTTCAAAATCGAAATTAGTTTATGGACTTTATTTAAATGTATACCAGTTTACTTTTATTTCATTTACCTATAATAGTTTAATAAATAATATTTATTAAATATGTATTTCAAGAAAAACGAAAAAGTAGTTCTGTGATTTATTTTACGATGACTTGTAGATATATGGATTTTCTACAAAAGAGCCAATTACGGCAAATTAATTTTCTTCACTTCTAACGACAGGTTTCCGCCTAATATGTTTTCTATAAACCACAGTACCAGCTCTGCGAAATAGGACAAGTAGTTTTTTGAAGGAACGCTTATCAGGAAGATTCCTATTTGGATATCTTATCATAAGCCCTTGAGACCAAGAAGCAATTTTCCTCAAAAAATAAAATCACTAATAACATATTCATTCATTCCGCCAGTAAATACTCCTTTTTTTGATGAAATTGAATTTTTCTTGATGAAATAATGAATACTTATTAAACTATTGTAGGTTAATTTAAGTAAAGTGTTATAAATCTAAATAATAATATCCATAACACAGGTCCATAAACTAATGTCGATTTTGAAAATAGTTTCTGTCACTAGAAAATTGCCATTGCAACAGCAGGCATTTTTATTGCGATTTTATTGAAAAATCGCTTTTTATTCAACATCTGAGCTAGATAGTGTATAGGAACCCCTAATATAGTTTGAAAGAGCATTTGAATCTGTTTCGATTTATTTAAAAAAATGCAGGGTGTTGCATTTGAAATAACGTAGTTTTTATATAAAATAAATCCTTAAAATAGATCAACAATTTTTGGTACTCCTGTAAAAATTTAACGAACGAATAACATTTTTCAGTAGAGTTTATTTCCCTACTTTTAAACTCAGCACAAGAATTAATTCTGAAAAGTAATGTACCGGGTGTTAATAATCTATTCTATTGAAGCGTGCATATTTAAATATCTTTAAATATCTCAAAAACCAAAGACTTTAAACATATTTAACCCTTAAAATATATGACTTTTTTTGGGCCCAAGAATCCAAAAATGAATTAAAATACCGGGTCTTCCATAAGAAAAAATATAACTTTGGTATTGGACCTTAGTTCTTCACCGGTATATTTCGAAATAATTTTAAATTGTACACATTGCCTCCCAACATATACCCGTCAAATATTTTGTTTCTAAATCTTTTCGTTTTCGTATAATCAACCGAGGCGAATGAGGTGCGCCACCCTGTATAATTACCCTCAAGTCAAGACAACCAGAATTCAATTTATGTACTTTTTTTAATTTTCTTGTATTACCAATAGGGCGATTTTCTTACAAAGTATGGCAATATTAATTTATTGCTGGTACAGATGAGGGACTAAAACCACATAAAATAAAACGGTAATTTTCAGTAAAGTAATTTTCAATTCAACTACAAACGCAAAAATATGTTTTTTTTATAAAATTTAACTAATTTTTTAGTACTTATTACCATTACAGTTTAGATGTCATCGAATACATGTCTATTAAAAAGGGATGATGTGTTTTGATCACAAGCGCGGTTTTTGGGGAGGGGTAATGGGGGTAATTACCTCCCCCAGACCGATCAAACTTCAAAAAAATGAGTTTTTAACACGTAAAAAATATGTTTTGTAATTTATTACTCCTTCAACATTTTAAACTATATACACTTTTTCAAACATGTTCTTCAAATCCTTCAATTTAATAGCTGTTAGTAAGACGTTTAACTTCAAATATACGTACGTGGTGCACACACATTTATTTTATATAAAATTACCTTCCCCCCTTGAATTTCTTTCTAAAACCGCCCTTATTTGATCACTATGTATTATATCGATGACATAAGCTAAGGGCTGAAGGATTTTAAATTTTAAGGGACTCTCCAATATATTCGAGATAAATTCCTTTCGTTCATCTTTCGGGTTACATAACGGAGTCGGAGATTCGCTTGAAAGACAACAGACTCACTCACGAGAGAAATAATCAAAATTGATTCCGAAAAACTAACGTTATATTTGCTAGTGGTATTAAGCATTGTTTTTTCTATTCTGCGGCTTGGCCGCCGCCTGACGACAGATGAAAAAGGAATGCTGCGGTTAAAAATTTATCATAAAAATATATAAAAATCTGAGAAAAGCCTTTTATAAAAAGACTTAAATATTTTTAGTAACTTAAGTCTTTTATAAAAAGACATAAATCTGTTTAATGGCTCAAGTCTTTTCTAAAAAGTCTTAAATCTTTTTCTATTTCGGAATAAAGATTTAAATCACAAGTCATTTTTAAAAAGACTTAAATTTTAAGTTTATTTCAGCTTTTGAAAAATGACATAAAATGAAATAACTTAAGTCATTAAAATGATTTAAATCAAAAAAAGACTTAAGTTTTCTAGATATTTGCGCACTATGGCCACAGGATTCCTGTTATTGAGAGATTTTTGAGTTTACTATAAATATTTTATCAAAAGTGGAGTTTAATCTCTATATAGACGTCATTTACTAAAAATTGACAAAAAACTTGTCAAAAATTAGATTAGATAAAATAGATTTGTGTGTCTGGAAACATTTATGTCCTTTTTCCTCTTTCTATAATTAGTGTTAATTTTTGACAAGTTGTATGTCAGTTTTTAGTAAATGACGTCTAGAGATTGACCTCGCCAAAACTTTTATCGATTGTCATTCCCCAGCTGTCTTTGACGTCATTATTTTCGATCATACGGTATAATGCTGTAGTTTACAGATTTTTCAGGCCACCATTAATATCTTTAACTTTTTTTGGAAACATTTGCACTTTTTGGTCAGTCTTAAAGTAGAGATGAGCAAAAATCGTAATTGAAACTGTGATTGCGATTTTTAAATAGGTGCGACTGTAACCTGCGATTGCGATTTTAACATTCAAATATTGTACTAGACATTCTATTCAGAGTGTCATTTTCTATCGAATAAAGTAAAAAAATACCGAGGATGCCATTTAAAAATCAAAAGTTGTAGTCAGTTCCGGTGAAACAGGAAGTGATCGAAACGAATTGAATACGTCAATCGATCCTAATTTATGTCATATGCTTATATACCAAATCTCGTTTTTTTTTATCAAAAAATAAAATAAAAAAGTTATAGAGACACTCCAGAGAAACACCCGCTATATTATGATGTTGACCCTAGAAAATAATACCTTCTTTATAAATAAATAAAATCAGAGAAAAAAATCAATCGCCGTTTACTAGAAAATGGCCAAAATGCTTCACCACAAAATTACATTCAAACTCACAAACTTACAAAAACTAAAAATTCACTCAAACTCGCAGGTAGAAGGTCATCACGATCCTAGTTTACAAAATCACAATCGCAGCAAAATCGCAACTATAGTAGCATTGGTTGCATAAATTGAAACTCGC